TTTCATCCTATGTATAAAGATTTCGGTTCATCAAGAATGGTTGAAAAAAATATATTTTAACTTAGATATTAATGATGAATTAGAAGAAATTCCTAGCTGTCAACAAGTTAAAGATAGCATAAAAATTGAAGCAAGAAAATTGTATGATTTATATAATGCTAATAAAAATTTATCAAGTGAAAATGAACCTGAAAGCTCTAGGGTTAGATTTGATGAAAATAATATTGATAATTATTTAGAGGATTATCTTGAACTTTCTCACGATAATAGAAATGATTTTGATGCATATATTAATCAAATTACAGAACCTACTGAAGATGTTCTCAAATGGTGGAGAGAGCGCACCAAAGGATTTCCAAAACTAGTACCGATGGTTCGAGATATATTAGCAATGCAAGCATCGTCGGTAGCTTCGGAAGGCGTCTTTAGTGCAGCAAGGTTTCAACTTGGAGAATATAGGCATTCACTAGCAGCCACCAACTTGGAGATATCGGTATTATTTCGAGATTGGATTAATGCCGAGAGAAGAAATTTGGATCGTGAACCACTACCGACCAAATTTCAAGATGACGTTGATGAAGTAATGCAGGATTATAGTGACGACGGGATTGAAGCAATGGAAGATCTTTCTATTCAACCTATTCCCGAACATATTACTAAAGAAATGTTGAATGATTTACGAAGGGATTTATATGGTGGCACCAACTATTAATTCAAACTAATATTTTTGTAAATGTAATTGTAATATCAAATGTATATTAATAAAAATATAGGCTATTCGCCTTAATTTGTTTTTTAATATTGTTGTATTAAATTTAATTTTTGATATAGTCAAAAATTAAATTTTATAACTTTAAAGTTTAGATTCAAAAATTTCAAACTTTAAGAGTTTGAAATTTAAATTTTATAACTTTAAAATTTGAATGTAAAATTTTCAAACTTTAAAAGTTTGAATTTAAAGTTTGAAAATTTAAATTTGAAACTTTAAAATTTTGAAAATTTTAAATTAAAACTTTAAAGTTTATAACTTTAAAGTTTATAACTTTAAAGTTTGAAATTTAAATTTAACTTTAAAATTTGAATTTAAAATTTTGAAATTAAAGTTTGAAAATTTAAATTTATAACTTTAAAGTTTGAAATTTAAATTTTTAAATTGCTTAATTATTATAATAAAAATTAGATTCAATTATTTTTTTTAAAATCCGGTTCGTCCCGGATACCGGTCCGGTATAGTACCGGTTTACTACCGGACCGGGACGAAACAATATTTATTTTACTGGTTTCCCGGACCGGTCCAATTCCGATTCCGAAACTATACCGGTACACACAGTATCGGTTCCGATAATTACCGATCCGGTTTTGCCGGTTCTGGTACCACTGCCAGCCATACATGAGACCATCTAGAAGACGCATCTATTAGAACCATAAAATATCTAAATGACCTACTAGGTGGGTGAATAGGTACACAAATATCCCCATGTATACGTTCCAAGAACGCAGGGGACTCAATCTTAACTTTCATTGGTGATGGTCTCACAATTAACTTGCCTTGATAACAAGCAGTACAAGAAAATTCACCATTTAAAAGAACTTTTAGGTCTTTTAGTGGATGTCCATTCGAATTTTCTATAATTCGTCTCATCATTATTGACCCAGGATGTCCTAGACGATCATGCCAAAGTACAAATGTATTGGAATCAGTAAACTTCTTATTTACTATAAAATGTGCCTCAATTGCACTAATTTTTGTCCAATACAAGCCAGAAGATAAGGCAGAGAACTTTTCTATAACACATGTCTGCCCAGAGACATTCTTGGTGATACCAAGATATTCAAGATTTATTTCATCCATTGATTGGATATGATAACCATTTTCACGGATATCTTTAAAACTCAACAAGTTTCTCTTAGATTTTGGAGAAAACATAGCATTATCAATGATGAGTTGAGTTCCTTTGGGCAAAATTACAATGTCTCTTCCGAAACCCTCAATCATATTAGTACTACCAAAAATTGTAGTAACATTTATTTCACCCATACTTAAATGAGAAAAATATTTCTTATTTTTGAATATCGTATGTGTTGTACCAGAATCAATCAAACAAATATCTTCATATTTCAATAATATGTTCTTAGAATTATCCATATCTTCACATGAAATGACATACACAAAATAAATATATATTAAATATTAGTGTTGTCAAAAGGGTACAATATATTCATAGGAATAAATTAATAATTAAATATTAAAGATTAAGCCTTAATTTATTGTTTCCTCTAAGTCAAAAACGAGTTGTTAGGAAAATAAAATAAAATCATTATTTAGTCCTAGTTAATAACAAACTGCATGTTTTTAACATGAAATCAAATTAAAGACCTAATAAAATACAAACACATGATAAATTCTAGTTAATATCAGAATTTATGTTTTTAACATTAGACCAAGTTAAAGACCTAATATAATACAAACACGTGATAAAGTTTAGTATTTGACTATTTCTATCATATTAGAATCATATAAATAAATCAATGAAAAATATATATTAGTTTATTAAGAATTAAGGAACAAGCTAATGAACGACTAAACTGATTTAAAATACTAATACTCATGCAAACAACTATCATTACATGAAATTTATTAATAAATACTACAAAAAAATATCACTCTTTCATGTTCACAGAACCATCACCAATTAAATGATCTATTTTTCCTTCAGGATGTGCGAAGAAATTTGCTACATCTAAGTGCGTGATGTCAACTTGATTTTTAGAGATAAAATTTGCCTCAGGATTTTTCTCTTTCTTATTTAGTGATTCTTGATAAATCTCAACCAAGTGTTTGGGAGTACGACACTCACGTGCATAATGACCTCTTCCACCACATCGAAAACAACCTTCCCTAGTTGCTTCACGTTTCTCATCCTTTCTTTTTTCCTTTTTATTTGATGAATGATTAATTCCAAGATTAGAATTACGTTCTTGACCATAATCACAACCACGTCCACGTCCACGACTACGAGGACCGCGACCTTTTCCACACCTAGCATGGTGGGCATACGCCTCATTCACTTTAGGAAGTGGTTCAGATCCAGTAGGTCGATTCTCATGATTTTTTAATAATAAATCATTATTTTGCTCGGCCACAAGAAGATGAGAAATTAGTTCAGAATACTTTTTGAAACCTTTCTCTCGATATTGTTGCTGCAAGAGCACATTCGAGGCATGGAAAGTGGAGAACGTTTTTTCCATCATATCAATCTCACTAACCGTTTCTCCACATAATTTCAATTGAGAAGTGATTCTGAACATGGCAGAATTATACTCATGTATAGACTTAAAGTCTTGTAGCCTTAGATGCATCCAATCATATCGTGCCTTTGGATGTATGACCATCTTCAAGTGGTCAAATCTTTCTTTTAGGTTTTTCCACAAAACAAGTGGATCCTTAACTGCCAGATATTCGATTTTCAGAATCTCGTCAAGATGATGACGCAAGAATATCATTGCTCGTGCACAGTTTTGATTTGATGCCTTATTTTCTTCTTTTATGGTATTTTCAAGACCCATTGCATCAAGGTGGATTTCAGCATCCAACACCCATGAGAGGTAGTTCCTGCCCGAACTTTGAAGGGCAGTGAACTCTAGTTTTGTAAGATTGGCCATTAAAATGAAAAACAAAAGAATAAATAATACCTTTATTAATTCTTCAAATCTAACCTTCACTTTTGAGAAATTAGAGTCTCGTGCTGATAACGTGTTATAAAACTATAGAATAAGAAGAAGAAACTAGAGAGAAAAGAAGAGAAGACTTATTATTTCTCTTGATGAATTTCTTTACAATGTTAGGGATAATTTAACAAGCAATTACACGAAGGTCTAATTCAACTCCAAGTTTTCCTCAAGTTCTGCCCGCTGGAGCGACAACTCTATCGTTGTAGCGAGAGATCTCTCACTGAAGCGGGAGATCCGGCAACAATAAATAGGGATAGAGGGAATTGTTTTCCTCATTTTCACTTTTTCCCTTACTCAAACTCTCTAAAAAAAATTCTCCCGATCATTCCCTTCTAAATCGTCAAATTTTCAGCTAATTCTCTCATTTTCAATCCCATTAATTCGTTGATTGGGTACATGATTACATGCAACATGATTACTTTATTTACATCCTAAATGTTTATACATCATTTTGGGAGTAAGGGTTATACAAAAAACATGTGTAAATCGATAGGAAAATGGTGGGGGAAGGTTGAAAAGTCATCTTACCATGAATTCAAATTTTCGACTCTAGTTAGGGGTTGTTTGGTTGAAATAAATGCAATTTTGTGTTCTTAGTTAGTTGATATACTCCGATTTTCCGAAAATATAATAGGAATGGGGTTTTTGGGACGAACGATGTCATTTTTGCGTCTTCTGTTTGTCCAGATGAAGACTGTTGCAGTAACCTGCATCCCATTGTAGCTGCCTGCATCATCCCGCTATAGAGGGATGTCTAAACCAATGGTCTGACTCCCCTTTTAAATTTTTTTCTCTTTTCTTTTTAGCCTTCTTTGCTTGGTCTATTCTGTCCTAACTTATCTTATTTCTTGTAGGCTCTCTCAAAATGGCTGGTCAGAATCACGATAACTTGCCCTTCATCCAATTTCTGGATGCCGCTAGAAGCATCATGATTATCGTACCAAGGGTTTCTCTGAGAGGGCACTAGTGTTACGAAGGTGGAGGAGAAAGCTCCTTCTTTTTATGCTCGTTTGGTCGAGTTTGTGTGGCTCCTGCTAAATGAGGCTTCCCTAGATGCTCACTCCAATTGGGTGTGGGAGTTCTATGTCGTCCTCCCCACACCTTTACCTAGTCATTCATGTTTGCGGAGTCGATATTCCCTTAAACTCCACCACAATTAACGAGGTGCTAGAGCTATCAGATGTCCCAAATTTGGAGTATGAGGCCAAATCGCGGAGATGGATCTGAAGTGGCTCCGGGATAATATTGTGGATCTTGTGAAATGGGAACATGTTTACTAGGTTACATCAGAGGGCCTCACTAGTGCTGATTGGTCACCGGATTCTAAAAAGTGGCTGCACTTGGTATCTACAAGGTTCTCTCATCAGGAAATTGCACAAACATCATCTTTCCTCTAGCCTTGGTTGTAGCATGTTCTATAAAGGGTATAAAGCTGAACATGGGGTACAAATTATCTATGAGTGGAAAATGTTTTTCCGGGGCAACAAGAAGGCATTCTTCCTTCCTGATCTCATCACTGCCATTTGGAAGCGTGTAGGGGTGCCGTTATGTGATGTTGATGAGGTACTCCGTAAGGATCCCCCTTCACCCACTTTTCGTTTGGAAAGGTTCTTCTTATACAGGCAATATGAGGAGGACGAGAAAATCTAGCATTAACAGGGAGGCCACGAGTTCAGACAGTGAGGACCCCCTCTTAGGTGTACGGGTTGAGATAAAACTGGAGACAGTACGGAAGAAAATGGGGAGTGCATATGCTGACTTCACTTTGGTTCCTCCTAGCACTGCCCTCGAGGTAGATTTGCTCCACCGCCAGCTGCTCCAAGAGAAGAGGAAGGGCGTGGAGAGGGAGCTCTTGATGGCCCAAATTTGGAAGACCATTTCAGGCCATATTTACTTGTGTTGCCCATGGAAAGGATATTCCCCAGCTTGAACCGAGGGAATTCTCACAGTTTCTGATGTTGAACGATGCCTGGGCCAACTTGGAGCACCCCAAGGACATGGACTCTAATGTGTACACCACATATTCTGAGAGCTCCTAATTGGTTGCAAATTTACATTAATCTTGTAATTATTTAGATGACTTGCTATGTTTTTACTTTTCGACATCTAGAAGTTTTGGTAGCACATGGATGCTTATTTTTGGATGCCTGAGGTAGCCCGTTGTTTAATTTTAGTCCCTTTAGTTACTACTATTGTTGAACGTTGTTCTGCCCCTCTCTGTCCCGCTCTAGAAAGAAAAACTTGCTGCATCGGCTTGAACGGGACCAAAACCTGCCCAATGATTTTGTGGGTACTTTTCACCTTCCAATATTTTTCTAAACTCCTTTTCACCTTACCCTCATTTTTCTAGTTTTTACCCAACTAGGATACACGAGGTCTGGAATCTAAAACTGAAAGGTAACTCGACACCAAATCTTCACATCCCTAAGATACACCCAGACATTACATCTTGCACAATTTTAACAATTAAGTCAGGAATCCATACCATCCAATAATACTTCTACATACACAATTAATTGGTTTGACAAGTAATGCACAATATATTTAATTTCAAACAACAAGGCACAAATTTTGAATTAGTTCAGGCAACAAGTAACACACATTCACAATTTTACAATTACGACCCTCATGAAGTTTAATTATTTTTAGTTAGTTCATCCCACAGATAACCATCAATTGTCATCTTAGGTCACCTTTTTTTTTGGTGATGAAATTATAGTTGATACTCAGAAAATAGAGGCAATAACGAATTGGCCTAGACCCATATCACTAATATTTGGAGTTTTCTCGGATTACCTGGCTATTATACGAGATTCACCAAGGGATTTTCATCTATTTCATCTCATTTCACTAAGTCAACTAAGAAAATAGTAATGTTTAAATGGTCGGAAAGTTATGAGAGAAAAATTCAGTAATAGAAAAAGTGGTTGACTAGTGCCCCAATATTGACCTTACAAAAAAGTATGCAAGGCTTTGTGTGCAGAATGCCAACATTATATATTAGGCCTTTTAAAAACTTAAGGTTCACGAGAGGAGCTACCCAAACAATGACTTAGAATTGGCTGCCGTAATATTTTCTTTAAAAATATGGTGTCATTATCTTGATAGTGTTCATGTAGATGTGTTAACAGATTGAAAGAGCTGAATCTTAGACAGTCAAGGTTGTTAGAGTTACTCAAAGATTATGACATGAATATTTTCTATCACCTAGTTAGGCTAATCTGGCTGTTGATACCTTTACTAGATTGTCTATGGGGAGTACCTCCCTTTTTGAAGACGATAATAAGGAGCTAGCAAAGTAGGTGCATATACTTGCACGATTAGGATTTGGACTAATAGATTCCACTAAAGGAGGAGTATTGGTGATGAATGGGGCTGAAGCATCATTAGTGTCAGAAGTTAAAGAGAAGCAAGAACTAGATCTTATTTTGTTTGATTTGAAGGAAAGTGTTCATAAGCAAAAAATAATGTCTTTTGAACAAGGGAGAGATAGAGTATTGAGGTATTAAGGTAGGTTGTGTACCAAGGGTGGATGAACTCCAAGAGAGAATCATGAGGAAGCTTATAGCCCTAGATATTCTATCTATCCGGGTTTGACAAAGATGTATCGCGATTTGAGAGAAGTTTACTGGTTGAGTAGTATTAATAAGAGCATTATAGAGTTTGTTGCTAAGTGTCCGAATTGGCAACAAGTTAAAGTAGAGTACTAGAGGCCTGATGGTATGTCTTAGAATATAGATCTTATGGAATGTAAGTGGGAGATGATTAATATGGATTAATCATTAGCTTTCCACGGTCTTGCAGTCAACATGATTCTATTTGGGTGATTTTTGATTGAATCACCAAATCAGTACATTTTTTGTCGGTAAAGACTACCCATTCAGCCAATGATTACGCTAAGTTGTAAATTCAAGATTTAGTAAGACTTCATGGCTCAGTATCAATTATTTTTTATATAGAGGTGCACAATTTACTGTACAATTTTGGAAATTCTTTCCGAAAGGTTTGGGTTCGAAGGGGAACTTGAGTACTGCTTTCCATCCTGAGATAAATTGTCAAGCAGAGTTTAATATTAAGACCTTTGAAGATATGTTGAGTCCATGTGTGATTGATTTTAAAATAAATTAAGATGATATCCTAACTATGATAATTTTTTCTTATAATAATAGTTGTCGCTCTAGCATCCAAATAGCTTCGTATGAGTCTCTTTATGGGAGAAGATGTAGATATCTTATTGGATGATTCAAAGTTAGTGAAATTGGGTTAATAGGACAAAACTTAGTTCACCAAGCCACGGAGAAAGTGACAGTTATTCAAGAGAGGTTAAAAATAATGTAGAGTCGTTAGAAATCCTACACAGATGTGAGGAAAAGCGAGTTAGCGTTTGAAGTAGATTATTGAATATACTTGAAAGTTTCACCTATAAAACGTATTATAAAATTTGATAAGAAGGGAAAACTTAGTACCCATTATATTTGATCTTACAAAATATAATAAAGGGTTGGTAAGGTATGTTATGAGTTAGAGCTACCCCAAGAGTTAGCACCGGTCCATCCGATCTTTCCTGTTTCCATGTTGAATAATTTCATGGAATATCCTTCATATATAATATCGATTGAATATATTGGTATCGATTGTCAAGGCTTCATAGATAGACAGTTAGTAAGTTCTTTTGTTTTTGCATTTAAGTTGTTATGTTATAAGACTTTAGTTACCATTTTGGCTAAGTGGAATATTTTATCTTTTAAAACGTTCTAGTTATTACTTAATCAGTTGAGTAAAGTTGGGTTGAATCTTTGTGTTTTCTGCTTTAAGTCTTCCTCTAAGTAGTTAGCCAAGCCAAGGGTTCACGTGTGACCAACAATGGTTCTCAAGTGCTAGCCACATCCGGGGTGTAGGCTTATGGTGTGATATGTTCTCCTTCTTTCAAC